CGCAGGCGGCTGTACGTCAAGCTGAGAGTTTCAGGAGCAAGGTCTGGCTGGAGACTTAAATCTGGGAGTCGTCAGCATTTGGATGGTATTTAAAACCACCAGGCCTGAGGAGATCACTGAGGGAGTGAGTGTAGACAGAGGAGAGGAGAGGACCAAGTGCCGAGCCCTGCGGTGCCCTGCCATGTAGACGGGATGGTTGAAAGCAGCATCAGACGCGAGTGAGGAACAGCACCGAGCCGTGAGGAAGACCAGGAGGGTGACGTGTCCCAGAAGCCGAGGAAAAATCTCTTTGAAGGAACAGGGAGTGATCCACTTGTTAAATGCTGCTGATAACTCAAGTAAGATGGGTTCAGCAACACGGAAGTTATTGGTGCCCTCGACAGGGATCCGGCTGGTGGCGTAGTGGGGGAGAAAGCCTGCATAGAGCGGGCTCAGGAGAGAACAGGAGAACAGGACTTGCAGACAGTGAGTGTCGACGACTTTTTAGAGAAGAACTGTAGTCATGGGGGAAAAGAAACAGGGCCAAAAAAAAAAAAAAAATCCTGAAGAAGAACCTGAAGGTTGAGAGGTTCTGTTTTTTTGTTTTTGTTTTAATTCCTTTAATGGAACATGGGAGCAATTGCAGCATGTTCATATGTTGTTGGGTTTTTTTTTTTTTTTAAGATATAATTTATTTGACAGACACAGCGAGAGAGGGAACACAAGCAGGGGGAGTGGGAGAGGAAGAAGCAGGCTTCCCGCGGAGCAGGGAGCCCGATGCGGGGCTCGATCCCAGGACCCCGAGATCATGACCCGAGCCGAAGGCAGCCGCTCAACGACTGAGCCACCCAGGCGCCCCAGCATGTTCGTATGTTATTGGAACTGGTCACTGGAGAAGAAAAAAATGGATGCAGACAAGGGAGCGCAGAAGTGCTGGCTGGAACAGAGTCCCCAGGGAGGTGAGAGGGGGGTAGCAGGCACAAGCGGAGGGGTCTGTCTTAGACGGAGGCCCAGACTGTTCATCTATAGAAATAGGAGAGGAGGCAGAGGATGTGGGCACAGATGCAGGTGGGTGGCAAGTCTGACCTCTCTAGTTTTTGCTATTCTGATGGGTGAAAAGTGGTTTGCTGTTGCTGCACAGGAAAGATGATGCCTGGGGTGACATCCTTCCCAACATGGACCCCGCTCTAGAGAAGAATTGATGGGTCTCCACTCCATTGGCATCTTTGTCTCCAAGAGCACAAGTCCGGTTTCTCCCCAGGCTTCCCGATCTCTCCATCTCTATGTCTCCGTGCCTCTCCCTCCCCCTGCAATCCCTCCGCCCTCTCCCACCCACCCTGTCTTTCTATCTCTGTGTATTTATCCCTTTGTATCCTTCTCTGTCTCCCCCTCCCTTCACGTTTGCATCGGGGCCTCTCCTCTGAGCCTGGGTGTGGGGCCAACTTTTTCATCCCAGCCAGCACTTCCAACCAGAACTTCCAGTCCTTGCTTGACAAAGAACCCCATTTTGAAGCCAAGCTAGGGTGGGGCCTCCGGAAACCTCAGGCTACCTCCATCTCCAGATTTACTTTTTTAACAAGCACAGTTGTGGCCCTTGGTCTGTGTCAGGCTCTCGTGTAAGCACCTTCAAATATTAACTCATTTAACCCTCCTGAATGAGACATGGAGATCCTATGCTATTGATAGTGATGTTTTGCAAATGGGGACACTGAGGCACAGAGGGGCCATGTCACTTGAATTCATGTCACTTGAAGAGTCAGGCTCTAGAGTCTCAGTTCTGAACCACTAGGGACACTGCCTCTTTTTCTAGTCCTTTCTCCAGCTCTGCCCTCCGTTGGGGGAAAGACCCTGATCTATGAGACAGTACACCTGGATTTGGTCTAGTTGTGTGGTTTTGGCAGCTCTCTGCCCTCCATGGGCTCCAGTTGTCTTACTGATCAGGTGAGGGGGTGGAATGCACCCAACTCTCGGTGGGCCTATGACCTCACTTCAACGTGAGTCAGACCTAAGTCCAGGCCAGTCATAAACCCTAACGTCAGCACTGACGTGGTACTCATCCCGAAGCAAACACCAAAGCCAGCCACCCGCTCTCCAGGTTCCAGCCCTTCCCAAGCAAGAAAGGCTTTTCTGGAAGTGTGGACCCAGGCCACAAGAGGACATAGGTACCCTGACTTCCCACACAAGCTTGTCAGTCACCTCACTTAACCCGCATCCTCCCTCCTCCTGCACCTTCCCTCCACCCAACCTGAACCCAACACTACTCAGGAAGAGTGAATTCATTGCCCACTCTGGGGCCAGCCATGTGAGGTGGGGGGAGTTTCATGGTGAGGAAAGACAGTGCTCTTTCTGTCACCTTGAGAGGAGTTCACAGCTATAAACCAGCCCATTCCCAACAAAACTCTACCCCAACATAGATACTCAACCCCACATCTAGTCCTCATTATTACCATCAATCCCCAACACCAGCTCAGCTATATTTCAACACTTCCCTTCCAAAACCTCATTCTTGGCTCCATCTCCAACCCCAACCTAATAGGACTCCATCAACATTCTTATCCTCAGATCCTTCCCATCTAGAAATCAATCCTATTCTCAAAACCAACTCCTCACCCCACCCTCACTGTGTCTGTTCTCCTCCCCAAGCTCACTTGCATTCCAAATGCTATCATCGGACCCATCCTAAACCTGTCTACAAACTTTTGTTCCTAATGTAGGGGAAAAATGTGAAAGACTTTGACATGGACCCAACAGATGTCTCTGATGGAAAATTAAAAGGGCTATCTGATTTTATGGGGTCTTTGCTTCTATTATTGTCTTTGAGCTCTTTACTTTACATCTCTGTAAGTCATAGACAGCTGATAGCAATGCAAATCATTCTTGTCCATAATTGTGCAAATGAGTTTTGGCAGGTGGAAATACAATCAATTTCCCTACCCCCACCCATGTACTATAAACCAGTTTTGTAACTATTTATAAATTCATTTCAGCGTTCCTTATTGCCTCTACCTGTGCGGTTCCTTGTAATATCTTACTAGCTCCATCATTTATTAATAAATCAAAATAAGATCTTTGACATTTATTTATCTTTTATTTTTAAAGGTTTTATTTATTTATTTGACAGAGAGACACAGCGAGAGAGGGAACACAAGCAGGGGGAGTGGGAGAGGGAGAAGCAGGCTTCCCGCGGAGCAGGGAGCCCGATGTGGGGCTCGATCCCAGGACCCTGGGATCATGACCTGAGCTGAAGGCAGATGCTTAACGACTGAGCCACCCAGGTGCCCCGACATATATTTATCATATATCTCATGGTTAGATCCTTTTTTAAAAACTTATCTTAAAAAAAAAACAAAACTTACCTTCTGGCACTAGATTTGATCCCTGTATCCAAACTTAAACTCCTCCAATATGGACTACACCAATTTTGATATGAACTCTCACTCCGCCCACCTTAACCCCCATCCTAATTATGACACCACTGCTCTCTCCCCAAACTTCATCTGCTCCCCATCCCTGGCTTCCTTCCAAATTCTGACCCCACCTCTGCCCTCCTTAATCCTTAATCCTGCCCCCTCCACCCCCTAAGGATTAATTCATGGCCCCACCCCGTCACAGTTCCAGGAGGCACCTACTCATTTCCAAAACACCACCTCTTCCTCCTTCCTCCTCCCCATCATCCTGGCCCCCAGAGCTTTCCGATTCCTGCTTCTGCCTGTCCACCTACATCCATCCCCATGGACTCCCTCACCCCAACGAGCCCTGTTCCTAAAAGACCATTTACCCAAAATATTGCTTTCCCCAGGGCCCCACCCAAGTCCAAGTACAGTTGACTTTCTATCCACCTATCTGAAGATTCCCTTCTTGCACCTGATGGCTGTGGGGGTGGGGTAGGGGAAGGGGAAGGGTGGGAGTAAATTTAGGCATCCCTGTGTTTTTCAGAAGGTCTGGAGATGGACCTGGTGCTGGAGATGAAGCTGGGAACTGGAATTTGGATGTGTTGGGTTTGATGTTTGGATAAACTTGAGATAAAGGCTGTTGATGGGATTGGGTTTGGGGACTAGGCTGACAACAAGGAGTATGGTTAAAATGAGGGAGATAGGAGTAAGGTGGAATATCGCCATCTGGGAGCTGTTGGATACAAGGACACGCACAGGAGTTGGAGAGATTAGAAAGTGGGATGAGAAATGGGCTGATGTTAGAGAGAGTCATGGGAATTTCGGGTGGGTTTGAGGAAGGAAAATAGCTTTCCCCTTTCCTCTAGGTGGGTTCTGCTGCCCCAAAGTTCACAGCGGGTTCAACTGGGGCCTGGGCGGGGCCAGATCTGGGTCCCAGCTTGTCCTGGAAGCTCCGCCCCAAGCGGAAGGGCCAAGCCCAGGTTTGGGGGGGGGGACTGGCAGCAGCCTGCTGAGCCATTGGGGGTGGAGAGGGGGAGGCCAGCAACAGGGAAATGCTGAGGGCGCTGGGGGAGGGAATTCAGGGGTTAAAAGCCATGGGTCCGGGCTGAAGTTGGAGGCAGCTAGCGGCGAAGCGCTGCACCCAGGCCTCTCTCCGAGGTAGGGTCCGCCTGGGGCGGGGGCGGGAGCGTCAGAGGGGAGGAGTGGGGAGAAGAAGGAGAGGTGAGGAGGGAAAGGAAAAGAGGGAGAACAGCTGAGTCAGGGAGATGGAGCGGGAAGCCAGAGGTTCAGTTATAGAGATAGAAATCTACAGAGCTGGAGAGGGTAGCGAGGGGGCGGAGAGCGGCGGGAGAGGGTACTAAGGCACCCGCTCGCTGGACTGCACGGGTGGACGCGGGCGCACGCTGCCCCAGCCCCTCCTACCTCCTTACTGTTTCCCCACCGAGAATGGAAATTAGGGAGGGGGTGCAGATTCCAGGGTCAAGGTTCTTAGTGAAGGAGATTCAAGATTGGGAAGTGCAGGAGCAGTGGTGGGGAGGAGGGGCAGCCAGAGATGGGGGTTCAGCCAGCCCTTAACAACCCCCGAACTTCTCAGGCCCCGCCCGCCCTGCTCCCCATCCCGGAGCCGCCATGTGGCCCCTGGCCGCTGTGATCGCCTTCCTGACCGTGGCCTTGTCAGGCGGTAAGAATGCGCGGGGGTGGAGGCGGGGTGGCCCCCGGAACAATGGTAGGAGGGGTCAGGCCAGGAGTAGGGGGCGTGGGAGCCCCGAGCTCCGCCCACCGCCCACTCGGGGTCCGCGGGGACAGCCCCAGAGCTTCCTGCTTGTCCCTGCGTGGCCTGGTTTCTCCGATGGGGTGAGCCCACTCACCCCACCGACCCCAGGCTCCTCCCTGGGGCGTCCCAGATCTAATGGGGCCCGCTCTATTTTTAAGTGTTCCGGATCTTACCCACCAGCCCCTTCCCTGATTTCCCGCCTCTGCCCTGGGAAGCCCACTCCGACCCGCATCCCCTGCCCCCGCAGCAGCCCCTCTCACATTCAAGGCCGCCCTGAGAGAGAGGAGTGAGACTCGGGTTCAAATCTTGATGCTGCTACTTTGAGCAAGTAAGTTAGCTTCTCTGTGTTTTTTTTCATCTGTGAAATGAGAACATAGAAGTCCCTATTACAAAAGGTTGTTGTGAATATGAAAATAAGCTAGTGCACAGCACATAGAAGGGGCTGGCAACTTAGTCATTATTACTTTATTAGAAGTATTCGCTCTTCATTCTCAGCCCCTTCCAGAACCTTCTAGTTTGTTCTTCCTTTAATCCTCGGGGTGACCCCACACCTGATTCCACCCTGAGTCGGTCCCAAATATTTCTCTTCGGTTGAAGCGCCTTTTTGCAGGCAAATTCTCTGGAAACCCCATTCAGGCATCATCATCCATCCATCCATCCAACCAACCAGCCATTTAACCAACAGCTGTTGAGCACTAGGCACTGTGCTGGGTGTTGTACAGGCACACACAGTTCCTGCTCTTAACACCCAGAGCCTAGCGGGGAAGGATGCACACATTATTCAAACAATTACCCAAATAATTAGTTAATAATTACAACTGTGACAGGAGGTGATAGCTTCAAGGAGCCAAGCCAGGAGCCTAGAGATGTAATGGAAGCTCCTGGTCTGGAAGGCCCTGCCCCAAAAGACTAGACCCCTGAGCTGAGACCTGAAGAAGGGAGGAGTCCTCGGGCATCTGGCACCGGGCATGGGGCACCACCCTTGGCCTGAACGTGGGGTGGTTTCTATCCTTTGGCACCACTCCCAGGACTCGTGCCCATGTCTCAAGCCCCTCCTGGGTACCACGCCCTGGGCTAGGAGCTCCAAATGCGTCTTGTGGAGCCCGCAACAGCCTTATGAAGTAGGAGTACTATAATTAGTCCAGTTTCACAGCTAAAAACATGGGACTGAGACAGCAGGTCCTTCCCCAAAGACACTGGGGGTGCCTGAGTCAGGATCCTGATCATGTTGCCTGCCCTGTCTCCAGCATCCTAGACTTTAGGTTCTGGCAACCATCTTCATTATTTTAGATCTAATGGTCTGCTTAGAATCAATTTTTTTTAACTTACAGTATATTAAAGATTTTATGTATTTATTTGAGAGAGCAAGAATGAGCAGTGGGGAAGGGCAGAGAGAGAGAGAGAGAGAGAGAAGCAGACTCCCTGCTAAGCAGAGAGCCCGATGTGGGACTCGATCCCAGAACCCGGAGATCATGACCTGAGCTGAAGGCAGACGCTTAACCAACTGAGCCACCCAGGTGCCCCATTAACTTACAGTATATTAAAAGTAAAGTTTATATCATTGTCCTAAATGGAAAAGAGCATCCTTTGCTATAAATAAAAGGTAAGAGGAAAAAAATATGTCCTCCACAATGTGACAAAAACAATGTGTTTCTTGGGTTGGACCATCTGACATTCCCGGTACTGTACCCTTTTAGACCTCCCCCAAAACAGTGACTGTAGATGGTTCAACTTAATAACTTTTAGGTTGCTGGCGAAAGGCTTCTGCTTCCTGGTTCTAAAAAGTGAGCTCAGGGACGCCTGGGTGGCTCAGTCAGTTGAGCAGCTGCCTTTGGCTCGGATCATGATCCCAGGGTCCTGGGATCAAGCCCCGCATCAGGCTCTCTGCTCAGTGGGGAGTCTGCTTCTCCCTCTCCGTCTGCCTGCCTCTCTGCCTACTTGTGCTCTCTCTCTCTCTCTGTATCAAATAAATAGATAAATAAAATCTTTAAAGAATAAATAAAAATAAAAAGTGAGCTCAGCGAGGATTAGAGAGGTGTTAAAAGCAGAGTAGCCCCATCATGAGACGTTCCTCCTCAACAAAATCAGGACTGGAAGAGAACTGGGCAGTGACTCTGTTTCCAAGGCTGCAACTGGTGTCACTCACGCCTCATTTCCATACCACCTAAAATGACCTTGTGCCCACCAATGACTCCTGTCCCCAATTTTGAGAACCACTGAGCTAATCTTGAGGCTTATGCAGGTGGGAGAGCTGGCCCACAGAGGAGAGGAACCTGCTGGCCACAGAGCTGGGGACCTCCTGTTGTAGCCAATAATTAATAACAGTCCTCACTTCTGAGCATTTGCTTAATGCCAGGTACTGTGCCCAATGAGAGATGTTTTCTTTTTCTTTTTTTTAAAGATTTTATTTATTTATTTGAGAGAAAGAGAGCCCAAGCACGGGAGAGTGGCAGAGGGAGAGGGAGAAGCAGGCTCCCCACTGAGCAGGAAGCCCCATGTGGGGCTCGTTTCCAGGACCCTGGGATCATGACCTGAGCCACCGAGGTGCCCTGAGAGATGTTTTCCTGCTTTACAGCTGAGGAAGCTAAGGCTGGTGATTGGTACAGGAATGTAAACAAATATAAAGAGAAATGAATAGTGAGCATGGTTCTGATGAAAATCAACGGGGGGGGGATGTAATAGGGAGTGACTGGGGGGCTGGGAGGGACACTATTAGACCAGGTGGCCAGGAATCTGGGATGGCTTCTGAGGAGGTGATATTTGAGCTGAGCTGAGCTCTCAGAGTCAATAAGGACACAGACATGTAACCTGTAGATTCTGAGTGCCATCAAGTAGAATATTTCCTAGATGTGATGTCCTATGTCTGTCCTGTCCAGTATGGTAGCCACTGGCCTTGTGGGGCTCTTGAGCATTTCAAATGTAACTGGTGTGGTTGAAGAACTGAATTTATTTCATTTTAATTAGTTTAAATTTAAATATCCACATGTAGCTAGTGGCTACCATTCTGAGCAGCACAGAACTAGATAAAGAACTGTGTCTGGAGAATGGGTCCACGAGCGAGTCCGGAACAGAGTGTGTGAAGGGGACAGGTAGGAGATGGGGCCAAAGGGGCTCACAAGAGTCAGATGTTAGAGTCCTGCAAACTTTGAATTTGAGAGTGGTTAGGCTATGGGTTGTATTTAAAGCCATAGAGGCACCCAGTAAATACATGTTGGATGGATGGATGGATGGATGGATGGATGGATACATACTTACTGCCTAGGTAGATGTGTAGGTCGGTCTCATTCCTATTCCTGAAATCCGTCCCCACGGTGGGATGAGGAAATGCAGGTGGGAAGAAAGTCAGGTTTCCACTTACCCATCAGAAGCTTCCTTGTTCCATGAACTCTGAACCCCCAATGGAGTTAGCACTTGTGCGGAAAAGGACTTCATCATCTCTTTGCCCTGACTCATCTCCATTACATGGAAGATGGCAACTCCTAGAGGCCAACAAGTGAATCATCAGTTCCTGGTCATCCAGAGCAAAATTCTGACCTTCTCCCCAAGCCCAGTGCCTCCTTCCCTGCCCCGGACCCCAATTTCCTAACATTTTCTCTTCTTCACCAGGCATCTCTCAGGAATATCCCAAGATTCTCAACGGCACCAATGGGACCAGCAGGTTTCTCCCGGGTGGCTACACCTGCCGCCCCCACTCTCAGCCCTGGCAGGCAGCCCTGCTAGTTCAAGGGCGGCTGCTCTGTGGGGGAGTCCTGGTCCACCCCAGATGGGTCCTCACTGCAGCACACTGTCTGAAAGAGTATGTGGGGGTCAGGGCAGCATGAGGGTGGGGATGAACATGGGGCTGGGGTGGTGGGGGAGTGGAGCTGGATTGAGGATGAGGTCGGAGTTAGGGCTGGGGTTGGGGATGGGATTGGAGTGGAAGTGTGGAAGATGTTTGGAGAGGAGGAGAGTGGTGGAGATGGGCTTCTCCTCTTTCATCACCTCCTTCCTGCACCCACAGCCGGTACAGAGTTTACCTGGGCAAGCATGCCCTGGGGCGCGCGGAGGCCGGAGAGCAGGTGAGGGAGGTAGTCCGCTCTATCCCCCACCCTCAATACCAGATCAGCCCCACCCACCTGAACCATGACCACGACATCATGCTTCTGGAGCTGCAGTCCCCAGTCCAGCCCACGAACCACATCCGTGTCCTGCCTCTCTCCCACAACGACCATCTCCCCGCTGGTACCTGCTGTCGGGTGTCTGGCTGGGGCACCACCACCAGCCCCCAGGGTAGGCACCCTCACAGGTGGCCTGAGGTGTCAGTGGCTGGGAAAACTGGGGCAGAAACAGGAGGGAAGGTTGGAGGAGAATTCCTTTGTATACATAAGGAACAAATGTATAGTTATATGTTATATATCACGTATATATGTTTTATATATATATCCTTCGTATAAATATATAAATTTTATAAATATATAGTTATATATGTCACATATATCCTTTATATAAATGTCTATTTATAAATGTAAAGTTGTATGTCATAGATTATGTAGTTATAGATACTTTAAAATATATTTATAAATATGTATAAAGTTATGTTATATATCCCTTATGTAAATGTACATAGAGTTGTAAAGTTATATATTATATATAATGTTATAGATCAAATATCATATAAACTTATTTATTCTTTATATATATAAATTAATAAAAACAAATAGGGTGGTATATGCTATATATTACATGTATATTTATATAAATATACATCACTATACATTTGTATATGCGGATTATATAGATTGATTTTTCTAAATCATAAATTCTATATTTATTGAGATACGTTTGAATATGAATTATGTATTATATAAATTATACATAAATATATTTAAATAAATAGGTAACATAAATTTGATATATTGGCAGGTATGTATTTGTTAAACATAAGGAAATGTAGGTGTATCCTTTGTGTACAAATTACATGTGCATGAATAGAAAGTTGATCCTTATAGCGGCAAGGGCCCTTTGCGTCGTCTTAGTGGCGCCCAAGCTTCCCTCCACCTCATTCCCTCTTCCTCCCCGGCTTGCCATCTCTCTTCCTTGTTTTCCTCACCCCCAGTCCTCTGTGTCTCACCACCTCCCACCGTCCCTCTCCTCGGCTCCCTCCCTTTTATGGCCCTTCCTTCCCAGTCTCCTGCGTCCTTTCCATCTTCCCCTCCACTTCCCTCCTGTTTCTCTCCACACCTGCCTCCTCCATCACTTTCCCCAGACTCATGTCCCGTTTCTTCCCCATCTTCCCCCTTCCATCTGTTTTCTGCCAACTGTCCTGTTTAACTTCACCCCATAGCCTGTCCTAGACAGACATCCTTAGACCCTCCTCTCTCTCCTCCCCAGTGAGCTACCCCCAGACCTTACAATGTGCCAACATCCAGCTACGCTCAGATGAGGAGTGTCGTCAAGTCTACCCGGGGAAGATCACGCCCAACATGCTTTGTGCCGGCACAGAGGAGGGCAAGGACTCCTGCGAGGTGAGAACAAGGGGGTGGTGGGATGCCATGGGCCAGGACGGGAGGCAAGGATGGAGGTGGGGTCAGATGCTGGGGGGAAAGGACTTGCTTCTAGCCTTGAAGGAAGCAGCCTTTTAAAATGACATGTCCCCTAGCATAGAGGGTCAAGATAAAAAGAGGATACCCGTGGCTGGAGAATATAATTCATCATAAGCCTCAGCTTTAACTGACAGTGGCGGCCCAGATCCCTGTGTTGAGATTCATAGAAGTTAGCGTTCTTTCGGATGCAAGCGACAGAAACCCAGCTCCAGCCAGCTTAAGCAAGACACACTGGCTTTTGTAACTGAAAAATCCAGGGGTGTCTTGCTTCAGGCACAGATGGATCCAGGTGCACAAATAATGTGTTTAGGACTCTGTCTCCTTTCAACTCTGCTCTTCTCTCTTCTGTTTTTGTCTTCATTCTCAATTAAGCTTTTCCCATGCAATAGCAAGATGGCCCCAGCAGCTTTGGGCTTACATCCCACCCTCCTAAACAACTCGACTAAAAAGTTTTCCAGTTGTTTACATAAACATCTTGAGTGTGAGTCTCACTAGTCTGACTTAGGTCATGTGTCCTGGACCATCATTCTGGCCAGAGCTGTGGGATTCTCTGACGGACCAAGTCCGTCATGGGACTGACTGTGTGGGCCAGGAAGGGGCAGGGACAAGCAAGGATTGAGGGAAAAGGAGGGGACTTTCCCCAAAAAAAGAAAATCAGGAGGCAGTTATCAAAATAAGGGGAAATAATACTGCATGGGCAAAAACCTCCACAAACACAAGAAACAAAACCTATGTTCAATAGAGGAGGCTTCTGAGATTGAGTTTTGGTTCAGTGGGAAAGAGCAATGAATGAATTAATGATGTGTGCCTCGATTAATCAGTGACGTCTGTCTTGGGTCCAGGGGGGAGAAGTGGAAATACACGTGTGGCAGACCCTAACCAGATGTGGATGAGTTCACTCAGTAGTGAGATGGCTCCAGGGAACCATAAAAACCACAGCAGAGTTGAGGGTGGGAGGAAAGGCAGCGCCAGAGAACTGGGAGTGAGCCTTGAGGTAAAGTGTCACCACTCTAATGAGACTGAGGAGCAGAGAAAAACGTGGAGAGAGAAGTCTTACTCTTGGTCTCCATGTGCATCCAGCTCCATCTTTCCCTTTGTGTCTCTTTTGTTTGTCTTCTTGTCTTCCTGTTTCTCATTCTCTCTGTGTGCCTGTCTCTCTTTGTCTCTGCCTCTGAGTGTGTCTCTCTCCATTTTTCACTCTCTCCCACATGTCCCAGCCTGTGCCTTTGGCTCCACCAAGGACCCCACCTCTCTCTCTTCCCCCACTCAGGGCGACTCCGGGGGCCCCCTGATCTGTAATGGAATACTCCATGGCATCATCTCCTGGGGAGACTTCCCATGCGGACAGCCCAACCGGCCTGGTGTCTACACTCGAGTCTCTCAGTATGTTCTGTGGATCCGAGACACAATTCGAAAACATAAAACCCAGGAGCAGAAATGGACGAAGGGCCCACAATAAAAGACGGGTTGGCTCACCTGCCTCCTTCCTCCCTCTGTGGCCTCCTCACTCCATTTGCCCGGTTAGCCCAGCCCATCTTGGCCCCTCCCAAAGTTCCACTTGAACCAGTGATCCATGTTCTCAGTGTGTCTGATCCTAGCTGACGTTTCGTGTTTCAAAAGCATTCAGTCACTTCCAATATAATGGTCTCCCAGATACTGCATCCTGAAACACCCCGGTACCCTGAACGTTCCAACCTGGACAACGTTCCAGGACTCCCACTGTTTCAACATAATCCCCGATAGCCATCTAGATGTTCTGTCTGTGGAACACACTGAATATATCCATTGGCCCATCTCAACAATATTCTATGCCCCGTGAATAGAACTTCCTTGACAACATCCTATACCCCTTCAAATATTTATTTATTGCCAACATTCCAGGCACTTCTGTGTTTGGTGCTCAAGAAAGTTCTAGACTCCTGTGATATTTCATCCTGAAAATATTATCTTGTGCCCAGAATCTGCCCCAACAATATTCTAGGCACATCTGAATGATTAATCACATCACAGCTAGTATTGAATCCTCATAAAGGTTCATTCTCACATAGTTTGGGGTCTCCCAAGTGTCCCTTCTCTACCTACATCCCACATTTTGCCAGTATTCCCTGTCTCTGAATCCCCATGCCCACTAAAGATCAATAACACACTAGATTAGCATTCTGGGGTTCAGTACCCAGAGGGGCCTCCATGCCTAGACCCTATTATCTGCCAAATATTGTCTTTTTATCTCCCCCACAGCATCTTTGTTCAGTGACCCCAAATGCAGTGGTTAAATGCTCAAGCCACCGAGTCCCTGCTTTGAACAAAACATAGAACTGCCCCTCTATTTTTTCATCTGCAAGTGGGGATCATCATTGCTCCTCAGCACTGTTATGATTTTTTACTTATCTTTTTACTTTTTATTATTTTTTAATTTTATTATGTTAGTCACCATACAATACATCATTAGTTTTTGATGTAGTGATCCACAATTCATTGTTTTCATATTAACACCCAGTGCTCCATGCAGTACGTGCCCTCCTTAATACCCATCACCGGGCTAACCCATCCCCCCACCCCCCCTCCCCTCTAAAACCCTCAGTTTGTTTCTCAGAGTCCATAGTCTCTCATGGTTCATCTCTCCCTCCGATTTCCCCTCTTCATTTTTCCCTTATGATTAATGTTAAGCACTTCCATTAATATTATTTGCATGGTTCTCTGTAGAACATCATCTTAGGGTGTCAACAACAACCCCTCAAATTTGCAGTGTCCAAAAAGTGTTCCATTTGGGGTTCCTGGCTGGCTCAGTTGGTAGAGCATGCAACTCTTGATCTCAGGGTCCTGAGTTCAAACCCCACGCTGGGCATAGAGCTTACTTAAAACAAAACAACAAAAAAAGAAGTTACTTTTTTCAGCCTTTGTTCAATGCTGACCATCTGCAGGCACCCTTCTGGGTGTTGGTAAATACAACTTTATTTATTTAGCAAATATTGGCACTTACCACAAGCCAGGCACTGTTGCAGGCACAGATGATAAACAGTGAATTAGATAAAACTTCTGCCCTTGTAAAGCTTGTGTTCTTTGCAAGGAGACACAATTACAAAAAAAAAAAAAAAAGAATAAGGAGATAGACTGAAGTGGCAATGTGAACCATGGCAAAAAAAAGCAAAGACAAAGGATAAGGAATGTTGGGTTGGGGGAGTTCTCACTTTTTCTTACATAAAAAGTTCTCGTTCTATGCCCAACGTGATGCTTGTACTCATGACCCTGAGATCGAGTCACATGTTCTACTGCCTGAGCCACCCAGGTGCCCCCAGAGTTGCTATTTTTTATTTCTTTTTAAAAATTTTATTTATTTAAAAAATAAAATAAAAATAAATAAATAAATAAAAATTTTATTTATTTATTTAACAGAGAGACACAGCGAGAGAGGGAATACAGCAGGGGGAGTGGGAGAGGGAGAAGCAGGCTTCCCGCGGAGCAGGGAGCCCAATGCGGGGCTCGATCCCAGGACCCCGGGATCATGA